GGGGGGGGGGGGGGGGGGGACTTGAGAGGTGCTTGGAATTTAGCAGAGAAGGACTAGGATACCAGTGCTTTCAATAAGACCAGGCACCTGCTGGAGCTCCAGCAGGTATTCTGTAGTTGCATTGCCAGGTATACTTTGGAAGCTTTCAAGCAAACTCACAAAGTGTGACCTAAAAACTTGGACACCTTCTGGAGTTCCTTCCGTCGACTTTTACCTTTACAAAAAAATTTTGATAAAAATGATTTATATTGTCTTAACATATATTCCAGCATACATTTCATACATTTCCACCAAAAAAAACCTATTTTGAGTTTATTAGAACAAACTAACTCAAATTTCAGTAATAAGTAACCAATTATGCCCTTTCAGAGGAATTTTTGTGTGAAATTCAGGGAGCAGGCTTGCATGTCAGCAAATGGAAGATTTTGATCAGAAATAAGATGATCAGTTAACAATTGCGCTAAAGTAGACAGATATTAGATGATCATCTACAGAAATTAAGAACGAAAAACTCTGTTTGAAGCCAGTTTATTTTGAATGGAACTAATGAGATAAAAAGAGGGAAATTGGCAAATCTTTGTTTGATTCTTCTGTTACTATTTGCCGGCTCGCTTCAGTTCTGAAATTTCACTTTCAATTATCAGAAAAAAGCTAAAAAGAAGTCCTGGAAAAGCTCGAACATAGTACAATTGGCAGATGGCGTGACAGCTTTAGCTCAGCTCAATGCTTTATACTCTCATAGAGCACGCTCTTTCAACCAATGACAGCGCGAACTATATCCGAACTTCATTATAATGAAAGTTAGAACTTTTGCCAAAGACAAACTGTTGTTAAATATATTCATGCACATCTTTGGTCATGAGAGTGTTATAATAACTCCCTTTTAACTTCATTTAACTTTTGGAAAGAGAAGACCACTTTCACCAAACTTACTATATGAGAACTTTGTTTCTATTCTTCTGCGTCCTCCTTCAAAATATTCCCTGAAATTTCAACAATGCTTTGAAGATGTACTTCTCAATATTTCAAAATATTAAAATTACCTGTGTATATGGTGGTTCATAGAGTAGATGGAAAATTACCTGTGTATATGGTGGTTCATAGAGTAGATGGAAAAGGAAAACCTACAATAACTTGCTATTGTTGCAATTAACATTATGCATTACCATCTGAATGGCAAATAAGACCCCATTGTTTAGGTTATCAGATTTTGTTTATCCCTCATATGATTTAACCCTTTAACTCCCAAGATCTCATTAGTAATTCTCCTTACTGTTTGCCATCCAATTCTTATAATGTTAGTTTGGAGAATTTGGTATTGGATCAACTGATAATCCCCTAATTGATATTTTTCTTTTTTCTCATTACTTGTCTGCTTGATATTGTATTGATATTGTAAGGAGAAATTCTGTCTTGGTCACTCATGGGAGTTAAAGGGTTAAGATAGAATTGGACTCAGGTTGGTGCTAATTTACTATATATATATATATATATATATATATATATATATATATATATATATATATATTAGTTATGATTATAAGTGATGTCAGCTGAATGCTTAACCAAGTTCTCACCGTTTCATTGTGTCTTGATTGATTGGCAAACTAGTAAAGAGTTCAGTTGGGGCTTTTAACTTAACTCTTTGACCCTTCACCCTTTAACTCCCAAGATCTGATTGTTAATTCTCCCCTCTAGCTGCTACAAATATCTTTGTAAATTAGTGATGAGAATTTGTGTAAGATCAAGATAACAACTGCAATCTGATAAGTTTGAATATTCTCATTACCTGTTTGCTGGATGATGTAAGGATATTATAGGGAGAATTTTCATGTTGATCACTTCTGGGAGTGAAAGGGTTAAGGGTGACTGGCATCTAATTTCTCCTTACAATATCACCCCTGAATCAAACAATAAAGTCAATAGAATAAAGGAAATCATCACCAACTAAAGAAGCTCTTGATTGTTTAACAAATTCTCCTTGTCATCAACTTGAGAAATGTTTAAAGAACAGTATGGAAAATATGCATACTGATGTTATAGTGCAAAGGGTTAATGGCACTGTATTGTCTCAAGTTAGTAAATCACTGATAGATTTCAAAACTAATTTACAAGGGATAGCGTAGCATGTATATGAACAAGGAGGAATCAATAAGAGGATCAGATCTGGAGAGTTTAAGGGTTGAGCAATACCTGGTGTGTTCATGCTCCACCCATTGGTACATTTCGACCTCTCGTCTTAGTTCGACAGCATTGACTGCAGAAATACCATAGTCTGAATCATTCAGCGCCTGACCAAAATAGCAATTAAAAACATTTATTTATTAACTGGTTGTATAATTTATCATCTATAAATTACAGCATTTGTTATAATAATATATATTACAATAATTATTACAATAAAAGAAGATGATAACTATGACAATTTCCTCACAATATCATTATTAATAACATACATCTTTGCAAAACACGAGAGCTTTGTCCTGCTACACAATGCAGGAAAAGCAAGTTAAAGATGTTGTTTCATGAAATTCACTCATTCTCCCTCTTCCCACCCCTGCTGAAGATTGGTATCCAATATTACTTTTGGCAACACCACTAAACAGTTAGGCAATAGGTTGTAGGAAAATTTTTAGTCCAGAGTTATTATTTTGATATGGTTTTGATAATCGTTGATCCCCATCCAGACCAAAAATGTATTTCTTCTTATGATACCAAATACATTTTAAGCACAAAGGTGATGTGAAGTAACACTTAACACTAAATTCTCATTTTAAAAAAATCAATATTCATAGAAATTAACAGCAAACAGATCCTAGGAGTGAGTTGGTTGAGTCATGTTGAAAAATCAGCCATAAGATCTCAGGGGTGTTTAAGCTGTCTTACAACAGAGAGACTCAAGGGAAGAAAAGATATTACTCTTACCCTGTCTGTTTGAAGACTTCCAGAGAGGTGAACGAGTTTATCCTGATATTCAGGATTAATTTGGTCAATGTCATGAATATGGACTACTTGTCTCAGACCCTCATCCAATGACAGAGCTGTTTGAAGGCCCTTTCCCTAACAAGTGAAGTGAAATAATTTCTTTTGTATAAAACATGTCTACAGCAAATTCTAAGGTTTTTTTTTTAAACCTTATCAAGCTCTTTTGTCTTATCACACTTTGATTTTTGTATTCATAATTTGAATCTAAAATTCACTTGTTTTGAAAGCACTAGCAGAGTTACATCTGTAACACTTGATGCAAAAGAAAAAGAAAAACAAAACAGTTAATAATAACAATTGCTAGGTAAATATCTGTAATATGCATGCTTCTTGATTTCCTGTGCTATATCAAAAACAGACTGCTCATACTGCCCTTAGTAGCTTTAATCCTCACCTCAATCCAATTATGGGAGGAATATGAAACAATAACAAGAACAACTCCACACAGGGTTGCAAAGAAACGTTCTTCCACTTGATTAAGATTGTCTTGGTATGAAACCCTCACATGGCTGTCACTTGGTAACCTTCCTGTGCTATGCATTTCTGGTGCACAGGGATTCTACAGATAAAGAAGTATATGCATTATATAAACTACAATTGAAAAAATAGGTCCGCAATGCGTACTTGTGTGGGATTTCATCGACAAAGTGTTTGCCAGGGGTTTTTGAGCGGAAGCAAACCTGTCGCTCACCGTGAGTCAACTGTACTACAGGGGTGATATTAGGCCTGGAATCAACAGTCTGAATAGTAATTTTTGTGCGGGAATTATTTGAACAAATACAGATTCACAGGAGGGGTCTGGGGTATTAACTTATACTTTTATCAAGCAATATGCCTGTCCCTCCCTCCCTGGAAGCTTTTTGGCGTGTTTTTGAACGTTTGGTAATCGTCT